ACGGAAGATGAAGACTATGGAAAGATGCATGGATTTCAAATTTTTTTGTTCCAAAATAATCTTATCTTTTAATCCCATTTCCCATGAATTTTTTAAAGTTCTCTTGTAGGTAATAATTGATGTCACACACAGTGTTATTAGGGTTAAGTAGAACAGTGTGTTAAGCACTTGCAAGTCTTTTGGTACACAGTAAGTGCTCAATAAATGGTACTGCTGCTACTGTTACTATTATTACTACTATTATTACTGTATTTACCCATTAGATTTTGTTTTCATCTCCATTGATAAGCAACAGGGCCTGCAGGAGAGGCAATTTCTAGTGTATTTGTGGTACCGCCCTAGGGACTGGTATATTGTGGGAACCCAATACATTTTTACTGAACCGTATCCTATTCCATATTTGCCAACCGTTTCCTATGGGCATATGATAAAAATTGCTGGTGTTTTGCACGAGGCAAGGGATGGGTGCTGTGGAGGCATACTGTCTCTTAATCTTCATTGGGATATGAGCTTGAAGGGTAATGGTAGAAAGTGCATGAGCTTTGGAGCCATACAGGCCTATATTCTGTGTATGGTTTATTTTTTAATAATAGGAAAAGAGAACTGGACATAAACCCAGGAAAAATGTCAAACCTGCCATTCTACTACCATTCAAGTTCATCAAAGCCTCCTGGGGCTTTACATGGTCGAGTGTCTGGCATGATGGCTTTGCTTTGTTTCATTGCCAGCCAACTACATCAGAGAGCCCCCTTTGAACCACCCTGCCTCCACCCCTTGGCCTGGAGGCAGGAACATGGAAGAAAAAGCTATTTCCTGTATGTGGACTATACAAAAGGTCTTTTTGTTTTGTTTTTAGGTTTGTATGGGCATGGTGTCAGGTTGTGGCCCACTGAGCTATTCCAGAGTAGATCAAACCTTCCCGACAAAGGGTAAAGGTTGCAGCACAAACTGCTTCTTGGGATGTTTCCCTGCACTTGTGACAGGGCTGTGGGCAATTACAGTGTTGGGACAGAACTGTTAGGTGGATCTTTGGTCTTGTCAAATTAGAAAGAAAATAGTGCTGTCTCTCTGTGAATCAGATCTGTTTCATGTTATAAGCTGATTTTTATAGCTTAGAGAACGCTGCAAAAAGGCTTCAAAAAATCTCCTAAGATTCTTTACTCTAAATAGTTTCTCTTTTAACATATGTTTCCTTGCAGCAGAAGGTAGATTATGGCAGTAGCAGAAGGTAGATTTAAGTTTCTGAAGTGTACCAGTACTCAGCTCTGGTTGTATATTAGAATTTCCTGGGAAACTTAAAAAACAAACAACCAAACAACCAACCAACCAAACAAAAAATAATCCCTGGGCTCTATCCCAGTTCAATTGAATTATAAACTGTGGGGATAGAGCCTGGGCATAAGCAAATTTCAAAAGAAATAAACAGAAGTTAAAAGAAAATTAAAATAAGAGCCATGAACTGGGAGAAAGTATTTGCAAAAACATGCATCTGATAGAAGACTGGTAACTAGAATATATAAAGAATTTTTAAAAATTAATAAGAAAATGAAGAACTTAATTAAAAAATGGGCAGAAGGTTTAAATAGGCATGTCATCAAGGAAGACATACGAATGGCAAATAAACACATGAAAAAGATGCTTAGTGTCATTAATAAAGAGGGAACTTTAAGTTAAAACCACATTGAGATATTAGCATACCCTTTTAAAATGGCAAATAAACATCGACCCTTCACCCCTCCCCACCAAAGTCACCTGATAATTCAGAGTTAATATTGGATGATTCTATTTCTATGACACTTGGAAGGGGCAGAAAACAAATCAGTGGTTTCCTGGGGCTGGGGGTGAGAGAAGAGGACAAGGATGGAGAGAAAGTGTGAAGGAATGGTTCTGGGGTGATGGACCTCTTCCATATCCTGATTGTGGTGAAGGTTATGGGATTGTCTGTGTTTGCCAAAACTCATGGAAGGATATACAGAAAGGATGAATTTTACTATTTGTAGTCATACTTGAATAAAATTGACTTCAAATCCACTATTTCAGCAAAAAAAAAAAATCAAATGATTTAAGTTCATAAGCAGTGTTCCTGACAGATTTGAATCTAGGCTTGGTCATTTAAACTTCAGTTTTTACATAGGTGAAATTGGAGATAATAAAATGTACCTTGAAGAGAATTTGTGAGTTTTAAATGTTATGCTACACTGAGAGTGCCTAACGTGGAGTTTGTCACAACACAATAATCATCACGGATTTGGGGCTGTGTGCTACACACTGTACCAGGCACTTTGTAGGCATCCCAGTTAGTCTTCACCACAACTCAATGAAGTACGTATTATTATGTTATTATTCTCAAAGTGGAGAAATTGAGGTTCAGAGAAGGCATGGGACCTCTCAAGGTCTCACAGCTCCTCAATGGCTGAACCAGGTCCCAAGTCCAAACTCAACATTATTGATTTCTGAATCACTTCCGAAATCTGCATTCAAGCATCCCACTCTCCAGCTGCCACTGTCTGGCCTTCGATCTCATTTTCTTGGTATTGGGATTTCAGTGATTTTCTGACCTTCCTGGAGTCTCCAGTCTCCCCTGATTCCAGCACTTCCTGTGAGTCGTCATCACTCTCGCCTTCCTGTTTATGCAGCCTACACATGAGGTTCAGTGTGGTTTATTCTTCCTTTGTAAACACTCTTAACACCACTGCTCTTTTCTCCCTCCGTTTGGAAAAAGCACAATCTAGTTAATCCTAATTTTCTTTTTCACTCCAGTCTTGCAACCAAGCAGCAATTATAGCTGGAGATAAATGTAGGACTGTGCAGACCGGACTACCTGCAGGAGAGCCAGGTTTTAATTAAGCCCGGAAGGAGACAAGTATCACACACTCAGGAGGGGGAAGATGTAGGGGAGTTTGATTATTGTGCTATGGGGAAGCCGTGGGACGTTCGTGCAAAGGAGAGGCGATGTGGGGATGAGCCTGGGGGAGAGGGCTGAGGCAGTGGAGGGGAACTTTCCTCGAGGTTAGTGATCAAAGATCACAGGAGCCAGGGGCCTGGCGGGGGCAGTCTGCTAGAATACGCCAGCGTTGGCACTGCTTACTTGGCCCTGACCCTGGCTGGGGTCTCTAGGAGGGTTCTGGCTGGTTTCAATGAGGGCATGAGTCAGTTACAAAACGTACAGAAATGTTACCGATGGGGCCATATGCGGAGACTAGGCTAGCGGCAGAGGTTTTTCTTCTGGTCCCTGGTGTCGGCACCAGTTACTGGGCGGTACGTCCCAGGGTCTTGGTGGGGCTGGGTCAGTGACATACGGATAAATGTTTACCATCTGATTTTCTGAACAACCACACACAGCCCCGCCAGAGCTGACCAAATTAGCAGCATCACTTCGCTGAGGACAGGTTGGAAAGAGATCTGCACAGTCAGAGCTGTCAGCCACTGGTGCAGCTGCCTCCAGCACAGCCCTGGCTGGGCCAGTCTCCATCCAAGCAGAGAAGTCCATTAGCGGACTGGAAGCTGGAAGGGGCCAGGCTCCCAGAATGCAGCTGGATCTTGCTTGGCTTTTTAGATGCAAAGAATAAGATGCAGATAATTCACTGACAGGGAAGACTGTGTTCTGGGGACTGGGCCAACATAGGATGGTATTGAGAGAAAATCGTGTCATCTTCATTAATTGGGAAGGCCCCTCGGGCATCGGCCTTCGAGGGACCCTCTGGTTATGTGTCTGCCTTTTGTCCTGCTATCAACATTCTGTTCTACGGGATGACACTTTTAGATGTACGGATGTTCAGTAAGCTTCTGTTTTCAGAAAGTGTGGGAATAACTGCAGTCCCTTAAACAGAATTTCAAATATCCACAAAATTCACTCATGCGAATGATTTATTTTCATCTCTAAGAGACAGCACCGCTGTATTCTGCAGAAACCTCAATGATTAGGATATTCACGCATACGAACAGGCGACTGCAGGAAAAGGAGATGACAGTAAAGCAACTGGGAAGATAAGTCCTCGTGGAGATTAACAAGCATAGCAAGGAAATATTTTCCTTATCAAATAAAAAAGATGTCAAATACGAACAGTGCCCTTTCTGGTGGCATGTTTGTCCACTACCTTTGTGTCCTACATCTGTGATGGCATACACAGGCGTGTGAAACTCCCGACCCAAGGTAGAGCTCCCACTTCTCCCAAAACATTTGAAGAGACCTAGACATTCACTGCCTGTAAGGGGCTGACCCACGTGATCTGCCACCCCCTACCTGGCAGTCTCAGAGTTTTGTTTTTCTTCCTGTTTTCACTTGTCCATTGACTGACTCCTGGCATTCTGGGTATTGCGGATCACAACTCAACAGACAGGAGGGGCGAGTCAGAGGCAACAGGAGTGCATCTTATCACCATGGAGGTCCTGGCACTTTGCTTTTAAGTAGAGTTTTGTGATTTTTCCTCAAGGGGAGAGAGGAGCCAGGTGACCAACTGTGGACTATCAATCTGTTAAGGTGCTCATGGTAGATAACGCTTTGTGATTCTCACAATGGCTTGAAATCTCCTACGTTGGCTTTTTTTTCTCCTTTGTGGCACAATGCCAGTTTGCAACTTCTCAAATTCCAATCATATCAGATTTATTGACTTGCTACTTTGCTATTCTTTCTAACCTTGGTACATTATTTATATTTTAGCTGTGATCTCCACCAAAGGAATTGACCTGGCTTCTAATGGAAGAGAGAGTTAAAATAAAAATAGAACCATTAGACCGTGACAGGGCATGAGAAATTGGGAAAGGTTTGGGCATCAGAATAATGATTTGTTTTGAAAAAATCAAAGAAAAAAGAAGCTACTACATTTGAGTCAAAACCTAGCCCTGCTCTCCCTGGCTGTCAAGGCAGAAGGGGAGCAGATGAATGACTTTGTCTGCCACGTCACACACCTCACTGCTAAGGACCCCAGAGAAGTGGGCTGAGCAGTAACCAGGCCGACAGGCAGGCTTCCCGTAGCTCTTCCCCGCACTGAGGCACTTACCTGATAAGATGGACGCCACGGCGGCAATGATGAAAGACACAATGACACCAGGTCCTGCCATTTCCTTGGCCACCAGGCCCGACACCACATACATGCCAGTGCCCACGCAGCTGCCAACGCCCAGGGAGATGAGGTCCATGGTGGTGAGCACCTGGGCTAGCTTGGTGCCATGTGCTGTGGTGCCCCCAGTCCCCTCCAGCATGGACTCCACTGGTTTGGTGCGCAGGATCCTGGAGTGCATCGCATACCATGCAGCACCCCACTGTACCCGCCGGGGGTCCAGGGAGGCCAGGAATCCACTCATCTTGTACGGTAGGGTTGTGGTGACAGTCAGCTGATGGAAGAGGGTTACAGAAGCCTTACTCGATGATTCTGGAACTCATCTAGTGAACAGGGATCTCCCTTTCAGGAAAGATCCCGAGGGAGCCAAAGCAGCCTTCTCCTGGGCATGGATGCCTGCAGGAAAAACACAAGAAAGGAGAAGATGAGGCTGAGTGGGAAGCACTTAGAGGCATGGCTGCAGGTTAATATCCTGAACTCACAAAACTGGTCCATCCTGTGTGTCTGTAACCCGGGAGGGTGCGTGTCCCCTGTCAGCTCTCAGTGCCAGTCTGCCGCTCGCTCTGGTTGCACAGTCATTCTGGCGAGCGTGGCCTGAGTCAGAGCTCTGGGACCGTGGGCAAGCAGTTTCACATTTCTGTGCTCAGTCTGCTCTGTCCAGGGGAAATAGAGCCTTCCTCGTAGTGTGGATGTGAGGATAAAATGCACATATGTAAAAAGGAGCTTAGGACAATGCCTGGCGTATGGGAATCGCTCATCTGTCTCAACGCTAAGTGTCTCCTAGCTGGCTCTGCTCGGCTCCTCGACTTGTAGAGATGCAAGTCCCAAAGTCAAGGGTTGATGGGACTTACATGGTAGATGCTTGATGAAATTATGGTGTCTGGAGGTGGGGCCTTTGAGAGGTGTTTGATTTGGATATGAGGTTGTTAGAGGGGAGTCCATGATGGAATCATGGTGGCTTGACCAGGGGAAGCCACATGGAAGTGGATGTGTGCTCCCTGTTTCTCTCAGATCCCTGGCTCGCCATGCGAGCCATCACCCTCATCAGGCACCAGATCAATGGGGCTGCCCAGTCTTGGACTGGGACCTTCAGAATCATGAGCAGAGAGAAACCTTCTCTTGGGTGTTAGAATGATGAAAAGTTGACTCCTTTACTCAGACTATAATTCTTGGGCATATCCTTTGGGATGAAGTACCTTTTTTAAAAGCATTTATATAAGAGGGTAAAATCAGATTCATGATTCTCGAGAAGAGCCTTGCCACCCCATGGGATTGTCTGGGGACTTGGCTCTCACATAAAATGAAGAGTGTTTTGGGAATTTTTATTTTATTTTATTTTATTTTATTTTATTTTATTTTATTTTGGTCTGCTGAATACTGGAGTTGAAGGGAATGCTCCTAGATTTGGTGGGAGTTCAACCAAACTCTGTTTTACCTAAAAACACATATTATATTTTAGATGGCTTTAATATACAATTTCATTGAATTTTCCAGGGATGCAACTAGAGAATAAATCTAAGCAAGGCTGTGAAGTGTTTAGTTTGGAACTCAGTAGAAGTTGTTTACCACTTCAGAAAACCAAAGCCTCCATGATGGTGTTGCCCCCCGGGATTACATAGGCAGTGCCACCTGAGACAGCCATTTGGAACTGGCTCATATGTGGTGATTCTTCATATAATGCAAGCATGTGACAACTTCATTGGGACATACCTACTTACATACTGAAGTATGTTTCATATAGATAGATTATCTGTGATTTTCATCCTGTAAAGAGAGGCGTAATAAAAATATCTTGTACTAAAAGAGATGGTGAGGCTGATAGAGTTGAGAACTCTGGTGCTGGGTGATTCCTAAAGTTTTGCTGGGGTGGGAACTTGGAGCAGTGGCTAAGGCGCTGCTTGTGATACTTGTTAGGAAACTGGTGCAGTTGTAGCCAGGTGGCCGCATGGCCCAGCTACCTGAGCCAGGCTCCACCCCCATCCTAATGGGATTCGCTGCTCCTGCTTCCCTGCCTGCCCTCAGGCAAAGTTTTAAAAGGGCCTGTTCCTGCACACGTGCTCTCTTGGTTCTTCTCTCTTGGCTCTCTTAGCTCTCCTCTCCTGCTCTCCTGAGCTCTTCTCTTCTCTGCTCTATCTTCTGTCCTCACTAGCTCCTCTCCTCTGGCTTTCTCTCTTATACTTTCTCTCTTTTTCCCTTCGCTGCCCATTCACTCCTGTCTGTTGGGTGTTCCCCAATAAACCCTTTCCCTTACTCCGGTGTTCGGTGTGTTTTGCGACGGCTAACATTAATATATAACAATACTGGCATTCCATATCCATGTTCCTGGGTTCTAGTCCTGGCTGAGATCCTGATGCCAGCTTCCTTCCAGTGTGCACCCTGGCAGGAAGCAGCTGATGGCTGAAGTACTTGAGTCTCTGCCACCCACAGGGAGACCTGGACTTGAATTCCAGATGTCTGGCTTCACTTTGATCCAGTCCCAGCTGACGTAGGCAACTGGGGGATGAACCTTTGTATGGGAGCTTTCTGTTTATCTGTCTCCCTCTCTGCCTTTCAAGTAAATGAGATAAATAATTTTTATATAAAGTTTTGTCAAATTAGAAGATGCAAATATTATACTTTTTTTGAAAATGGAAGATTTATAAAATTATTTAAAGAATTTGAATTACGGCTAAACATTGATTCCAAATGCTGCACTGATAAGCATAAGGTATTTACATATATGATAAGTACCTGGCTACATAGGCTACAAATATTAACTTACACTACTTAGCACTTAATGTACCACTTCTCTGCTTCTAAAGACTTTGCAAATGCCTAGGATAATTAGAAGAAGCAGGTGAAATGTGGCAGTTTGGTTCACAGGGGTTGGGTAACAGCCCTTCTGGTTTAATTTCCTCCTACACCTGACAGTGTTGCTTCCTGCTGTGTTTTTGTTCTTGACAACAACTTGAATCTCACCACGGTCGGATAGTTCTCCTGTACACAGCAGAGCTATTTGAAAGCCCGAGTGTCCGCATTTCCCCTCTAGCAGCACGTCCCGTCGCCTGTCCCGGGCAAGACAACGCTTCTCCACAGCCAAAGGCTCTAGAGGCTTGTCTTGGTCAGCCCTTCATCAGGAACTGTCACAAGGACACTGAGCCATACACCAGGCTTATAAGGGAGGTGACAGCTTCCATTTGTGCTGAGTGTAACTTGAAACCGTGGTGAAAACGCGGAGAATCAACACGGATTGAAGGTGGCAAGAATTGTTCTGCAGTAGTAGTCATACACTATGTGCAGAAGGAGGAACTGAAAGGGAGGAGCTCACTGGCTCCAGGCGTGGAAGATAAAGAATGCAAGGGTTACCATGCTAATTACCTGATCTGATCAGATTGTGCTGAAATATTGCACTGGCCCCCATGAAAAATGTACAAGTATTACATGTTAAATAAACAAGTTCCTGCCTGGCTCTATTCTCTCCCCGTAATTCCTCGGAGTGCTTATTTCATTGATGCAAACAGGGACTTGGGTCATTTCCTTTCTTGGTAGGCAATTTACTGGAGAGAACAAAATGTACAAAAGAAAACATGCTTCTAGGTGACTATTGACAACATCCATATTCATTACCCTCAGATTATGTTAATCAAAGATCGTTTTGGAAGCTCACTGCTGTTGTCTTTCCAAGATGAGCAGTAGATGTGTGTTGTGCTTTCTCTAGCACTTTAATTCCAGTTTCTCAAAATACTTCTCAGTTATAACTAAGGAAGGCTTCCAGGGCCTCAGGGAGAAGAGAGTCGTCATTGTGATGTTTGCTGGCAAGCTGGGGGCGCTCCGCAGGCTCCAAGTGTGAGGATGGTAAAAGCAGGTTCCTTTCAAGATGAACATGATTACGGTCTAGAAATTCACTGAATAGGTAGGATTATAGAATTAGGTTAGAGACCCGCCCTTGGAGATGAGGAGAGGAAGGAAAAGAAGGCTAACAAAGCAGTCAACAGCCAAAAATCATTCCTGTGTGATTTTGCAGGTACATTAAGGGATTATAAAGATCACTCGTGACCTTGTTGGTACCTCATGGTCTGCCCTTGCTGGAACATCTGGGGCAACAGGGAACATTGGCTGAGAGAAGTAGCTCCTTCATGTGTTTGGACGGTTGAGATTGGTACAAAATATCTCTACTCAGTGTACCCAGGCAAAATGAGGCTAGAGTTAGAATAAAAGCTTCCCGGTTTGATGAGCCCCACCTGATGAGGCAGGGACTGAAAGACCCCTCCCCTCCCGTATCCCAGGGTCTTGGGCTAACCCTTTCATCAGCCAGACTGAGGACAGAATTCAGGAGCCGGGTTCCCTGGGTTCAACTTCTGGCTCTGCCCTTGCTAGGTGACCCGGGACAAAGCCTCTCTTGCTTCAATTTTGCCTTCTATAAAATGGGATGACAGTGGCAGCGGGCTCACAGGGCTGTGGTGAGTAGTGGAGTCTGGTGTACAGGGAGGGCCATGGGAGGAGTGTTAGCTGGGGTCACAGTGCTCTAGCCCCTGACCAGGACCTCTCGTCCCCTGCTGCTCATATCCCTCTCACCCCCTCCACCTTCCTGACTGCAGCTCAGCCCTTACCTAGGGCTTTTCTCTGCTGAAACTCCTCTGGGCTTCTCCTGGTGGCAGACTGTACAACCTGGTATTTCTGCTTCAAGGGGCTCTTGATTACCTAAGATCTTAGAGAAAGGCTTTCTTACTTGCTGTGTTTCCCCGTCTAAGCGGACTCCTCGGCAGACTTGCTTTGGCCTTGGGGTGTTCCATCTCCTTTAATTCCTACAGACCTCGGACTTTTCCCCCAAAGACGCACACACACCACTGGGTGTCTGGGACATGGTGGGTTTATCTACAGTTACCATCCTATCCCTAAAAAATCCCCTCTGACCTTCATGCTGGTGGCTTTCTCTGGCTCACTCAGCCAGTCTTTGGTGGTGGATCCTCTCTGTGGTCCTTGCTTCTGCTGTTCTTCTATTGCCTCCATCTTGCCACATCTTGCTCTGTGTTTGCAGCTCAACTATAGATATGCTTGCACATCAGTTGCACCCAGTCCAAGACCCTGGGTGGCCAGGCGAGGCCAAGCGTCTGTGCGGCCCTAACAGAGCACCCCAGGACATTCGATAGGGAGATGTGTCCCAGTAACTCCCTTCTGCTGTCTGCAGTTCTGGTCTTGTAACTATAGAGATTAGGGCTAATCTGCTTATGGAATAAATCTTCCAGACTTTGAAGACTATCATCGTTTCTTGGAGTCTTATCTCCCCTAGACTAAGCATTGATTCCTTCTATGATCAGTGGTACCTCATATTTTTTTTAGAAAATTTTTATTTAATAAATATAAATTTCGGAAGTACAACTTTTTGGATTATAGCAGTTTTTCTCCCCATAACCACC